TTGCAATGGTCATAAAGAGCGAGGAGCGAAGAAAAAAAATCATTTGTGCGTTGACATGTTTCGCATCGAGGTCAAAGACGATTGTTTGGTGACCACGTTCACGTGGGATCAAAAAGAAAACAAGAAGAAGAAGAGCAGCAGCGACGTGTTCCGGAACATGAGACTTGTTCGGTTGGTGTCGACGACGGGGGAAACTGTAGTGATCGAACGGATCGAGACGTTGTTCCTTCCTCAATGGAATGTGTGGTCTTACAATGTGACCTTGAACGATAAACAAGATGAGGGGATGTTCACCTTCCAGGCTCCGACCGCCAACGCCGTCGAAGCATACGAATACCTTAAAATCCACTACCCCAATACCAGACCGACCATCACTCGTTTCGGTGATATTCCTTTAAACAACAACAGCAGCAGCGGTGGATTGGGTTCTAGTTTTTCAACAACAGTGGGCAAGTTCGACCGCGGATTTGGTTCCACCAAGTGAAATCGGGATACGTTAATTTTGGTTCCTCTTCACGTTTGCCGTTGTTTGGCGCCAAAGCGTTCCCAGAAGAACAAGACAAAGAAGAACAAGAAAAAGAAGAAGTCGAACCTGACCCCAAACGCGACAAATTGAACCCGARTTCATAAAACCATCCCAAAACAGAGAGAGGATTTCAGTCATGACTGTTACGTTGCGGTGTTTCGATCTCCGAGATCGACCGATGATCAAAGACTGGATGGGACGAACGGAAAAGAGAGGTCAAGAGTTGCCGGACCGATACGTGCTCAGCGATGAGGATTGGAAAGAGTTTCGTTGGCGGTGGATGGAGAGGCGAGACATCGAAGACGAATCTGATTACGAAGAGAYGGGGAYCYTCGCTCAAGTCCTGTACATGCGACTCATGACCTTTCTGTCGTGGGACTACTTTCCCCGCACAGATAATGAATATGATGAGGATGATAGAGGTGGAAGAATGGGAAGATTGGGTTCACCTGCATGGTATTTTGTCGAAAGAGAAAGATGGCAGGAAGTGGGTCGGATTCGAATCACCAAAGACATGACGTCACACCACCACATCCCTATAAGTGCGGTGGCAAATCGGAAAGAGACTTTATTTCTCTCGACGGACTCGCCATGGAACATCTGACTCAGCAAGAACGCGACATGTTGGAAAAATTTCGTCAAGAGACTCCCTCTTCTATCTGCTTGGAGTCGGATCGCTATTTGTGTCATTGTCCTTTGACGCGCGTCTACGGTAAAGATGGAAGTCGAAAGTACTTGAAGTGCGGTCGGACCAAAGAAGACCTGATGGCCGGACGACGTCCTTGCACGTTGTTTTGTGGCGAAGAAGAGTGGCCCGCCATTCTGACCGTGCTCCGTTCCCGCTATCCGGACGGATTGAACTATGAAGAAGATTGGCCGGAATGTTCTCACCACCTGAAAGTTCGCGTGTCGCTGAACAAAGCCAAGACGGGGTGCTTCTTCAACTGTCGACTGGGAATGTACGACCCTGACATGCCTTGBGATTATTCGCAGTGGATTCCATCTTCTTCTCAGAAAAAGAAGACCGAAAGAGGAGGAGCAACAGAAGGACGCTTCAAGAAACGCAAAATTCAATAGACTTTTTGATTCTTTATAAAAAAAAAAGAGTTTGTTGTAATAAAACAAAATTTGGAGAGAAAAGTGTCTTGTTCATTTTTTTATGGGTGGGATGACATAAAGGAAAGGGGTGGGTTTTTTTACAAATCACTCTTGACATAGTGTTCTGGACGTGGCAAGCTCTCTACTCGTGGTATGTCGGGCCCCAACCAAGGATGCGGTCTCTGGACCATTTTGTCTCACTGTTGTACGAAAAAATCCAAAAAGAAAAAGAACGTTACCCCCGATTCGTTCAAGTCTAGAAAGTCGATCWCCGAGATGATGGAACATYWCAATGGCACCATGATGTCCCCTCTCGTGATTCTCGCTTACCATCGAGAAGGGTTCGAGCAAATGGATGRGCTTCTGGTCGGATTCGAATACCAAATGAAAGGAGCTCARCGATCGAGCGCCAGACAGACGCGTCAACGCAAACTTTGGGAGCTGGCTTACAATGCTCCATGGATCATCTCGCTCTCACGTTCGTGAACATGAAAGACGAGTTCGTGAAAAATAAAGAAGAAGAAAAGAACACTCCATTCTCACCTCATCCTTCGAGGTCGCAACAACAGCAGCATGAACACACTCAAGAAACACCCCTCCTCCTCTCCTAAACTAGAGGACGTGAGTACAGATATGAAGGGTGTATCTCGGTTTCGAATTCAAGACGTGATAGTTGGACGATATCGTAGATAAAAAACAACAACCTTTGTAAACGTTTTTTTATTAATAAAATCATTTTAAAAGAACAAACAAGTGTGTTTTTTAAACTTTCTCATATCTCGATCATACGAGCAAACCTAACATTTTTCCATCCGGGAAGAGTTCCAAACATGTTGTCTAGGTATCCACTGCCTTTCTGTTTTGTCTTGCTGCGCGTGCGATGAGATAGAGGYGTAGATCCTCGTCTTGTCTGTTTGTATTCCATCATTTCTTTCAACAAATTTCTTTTGGCTTTCAAGAGGTCKSGGGACATCTGATTCTTTTCCTGCTTGGTCATCCGACGTCTTTTTGGGGGCGTGACGGGATCCATGACGCCAGGATCCCACTTGGGGACAGTGGAGAAGGAAAAATCGGCTTTTTAGTGATGACTGTCAGGATGGAAGGTTTGGGCAGTATTGGAGGCTTGGGTGTTTTTTGGGGGGGTTGTAGTAGGGACCACTCCGGCAACAGCAGCAGGAGCAGGAGGAGTCGCGGTCACCACGCGTCCTTCTCGGAACACAGAAAGCTAATCTGAATACACTTGCAAGTAGAAGGGACACAAAATGTGCTAGGTTTGTTAAGAACATTKCACCGGACAATCCTCTCTATAGCCTGATTARTGGTACAAGAGTCATTATAATTTAAGACCATCAGACCACARACCGCTTTGGAAATTTCGTTTCATGTAAATATTCTTGTTTAATGTRAATTATTTATTGTATGCACGGCTCCATGCTGACCGTGCCTGTAATTCAGGGATCCTGCGATAGGCACGAATAAACATATTATTTATKTATTATTTATTTAACACAGACGATCGGTCGTTCAACAGTTTCAGCTTGAGTCCCGGTTCCATCTTGTGGTCCATCATGATTTGTTGCAGTTCGTCTTTGAGTTGCACCAGTTGGTCCGTGTACGGGGTTTTCTCTTCCTCTTGACGGATGGCCATGGTCTTGAGCAATTGCGTTATGTCCGGTTGTCCGACCCGTACTGCTCCTCCACTTTGCACTGGAGAGGCCGGAGGCGTCAGCCTCAAGTAGGCCTTTTTGGTGTATTTCATGACACTGACGCTTTGGAGAGAAAGGACTAGGGTGTTTAAGTACTTTTCAGAGCCAGCTTCATCTGTTCGATTTCCTTTTGCAATTTTTCGATTCGCGTATTGGCCGGAGCCCGCGACACTGGAGAGACTTCTTGTTCTTGTTCTTGTTCTTCGCCGATGTCCCCCGTCGTGGGGAGAGGTTTTCGAACTCCTTTTTTCAAACTCCTCTGAGCTCCCTTCCTGAGTCCTTGAACGATTCTCCCTTTTTGTTCTTTCACTCCTTTGCGAACTCCCTGTTTGAGTCCTTGGGCCACTCCTTTGACAAGTGCCGAAACGGCCGACCCTCCGTTTTGTCGAATCCATCGTCGACGAGACGTCTGGGATCGGCGAGGGTTTCCCATTCCTCTCAAGACCTTCTTGTAAGGACGCAATCGACGCATCACCTCTTGAGCAAGAGGTGGAGTTCCGCGGAGCACGTTGTAGGCCATCTCGCTGACGGCGTCCACTTGATCGGGCGTGGCGTACCGGACCAGTTGTTGGCGTTGTTGGGGATTGGCTTTCACGGCCGACCACTATCGTTGGTGACGCTGCATCCGGCTCATACCTGAAGAAATTTTCTTTCCAAGTCGTCGTCCTGCTTTTTTCGTTTTTGATACGGGAAATTGTGAACCTTGACGTCGCTTCGAGGTCCTGGAGGTTGGAGAAGTCGTCTTTTATACTGCCGTCCACGCACTTTCAAGACTTTCTTCATTCCGTATTCGGCGCCGGCGGCCACGGTTCCTTCAGCCAGAGCTTTGGCTCCCTGTTTGGCCCCTTGTTTCACCAGCTTCTTGGCCGTCTGTCCCAACAACGGTTTGATCAACTTGGGAATCAGTTTCGCAAACACCCTCCCCAGACCACGCCCTTGTTGAAGTCGTCGTCGTCGTCGTCGTCGTCGTCGTCGGGTCATATCCGGCGCAAGCGTCGTTGTTTGAGTCGGCGCCGGCGTCCTCCTGAAAAAGCGGGTCCAATAATGGGAACAATCTTAGGAACGCCTATGAATTTTCGTCGTCCCCCTACCAGACGTCGTCGGCGACGTTTGCCTTTCCCGGTGATGAGCTTAGTGATCGGTTTGGCAATGAGGGGTCCAAGCAAGGATCCCAACAACCCTACGGCCAATCCTGCCATGATTCCTTCACACGAATGCAGTCTTCCTTTTATATATACGCAGAAAGAGCACGGCGTCGGCGACGTCGGCGACGTCCCGAGCCTTTGTAGACCAAAGTTCCCGATCCCCGGAAGAACGGGGGTGGGGGACGACGTCCTCCTCGTCGACGCCCCTTGCCTTTTTGCACGACATTCAGCAAACTCCTCATGCTTTTCAGTTTGTTGAGGGGATTGAGTCCTCGAGTCGTCGATTTGACTTGACGCTTGAGCTCGTTCATGGCACCTCGCGTGATGTCGCGCCCGACCTTCGACATGTTCATTCCAAACACCATCTTGACTGGAGTAGAACGAGGCACTCTCAGGGCTCTCTTTTATATTCTACGCTTGCTCGACCTTTTGTACTTTTTTATCATGTGCTCGATAAGAGTATTGATAGAAACACGAGGTTTCCCATCCTTTTTCGAAGGACGACTTTTTCTTCTTCTTTTGTTTCTACGGTATGGGAAGAAMCTTCTGAGGCCAGGGCTCATTTTTATGCACGTACACCACTTGAGGACCCGGATCGGTGGGAAAAATTCGAGTGCGCAGACGAAAGGCGTCGGGCGTGTCGGTTTCAAARTCGRACAGCAAGTACCCGTATTCGCGTTGAGTGGCGTCTTTAAAGGCTTCCTCGACAAACTTCTGTTGCTTGGGAAACGCCTGGCGGAAGAGGAATCCCATCTGCRTCTGGTCGCGCGGGTTTTTAAATGCTACCACGTAGTGCGAGTTCAGACTCTGCGTGCGCGACCCCTTGCGAAACAGATTCTGCGTCAAGAACACGATCGTCAATCCGCGATGATGCGTCACTCGCGTGAACAATTTTTCCACTTCTGGGTTGTTGKAACTTTCCACCATCAGATCGTCCAACACCAAGATCCCGGGGAGTCCCTCGAATCGGTCGTACAAATCGTCTGGCAATCCCTCGATCATCGTCACTCCCTGGTCTTGCTGCAACGCTTCAAAWCCTTTCTGCCACTCGCCATAGCAAAACACCACGCGGTCGAGCGGTTCTCGGAACAGGTCGCGACGTTCTCGAATCATTCGCGACACCCAGTACGTCTTGCCYGATTTGCTCGGCCCGACCACTACGATGTTGGAAGGCGTCTTGAGTCGTGGATTGAACATYTTTTCTCTTTATGTAGGACCCGCGCGCGCGTGCATCCCCTGTTTTTATAACCACACACAGGCACACACACAAACAGATTTTTTTATTCACAATTCAAACGGCGGCGCGTGCCTTCACGCACGCAAACCGAACTTTGACAAAATTCTCGAGCTTTGTGAAGTTTTAACAATTGAGAGTTGCGACACACCCAATGACAAATTTTACGATCGTTCGCAGACTTGGGACCGTGAAACCGGTCAGTTACTCCTTTTAACGTTCGTCCGAGACTTTTCTGTTTCAAGTAAAAAACGCAATAATGTCCACACACGGTCGTGTCGTCGCCTTGAAGAATSTTGCTGCTGTACTCGTACCCTGGGTTCAGATGATTCTGCCACGCTCTCACGTACGAGCTCGGGGATTTCCCGTAGCTGTCGAAGAATTCGTCTTGTCCGTCTTCCCCGTAATAGATGGCCACCCAGTGCGTCCCGGGTCGGTGGGACGGGTCGGAATTGACAATCAATCCACTCGGACGAGGGACGTCCTGGAGCAGGGGAAGTTCGTCGGCTGCAAAGACTCCCAAAAATCGGTTTCTTAGATGAGGGTCTTGCGCCACCAACCATCGCAACTGATTACTGTCGAGTCCTCCTTTTCTTGTCATCTTAGTAATTGTTTTTCATGGACACTACCTTGTTGGGATCGATGTACAATTCATTCTCGAATTCCGGCAACAGCAACAACGTCAGATTGGATGTAAGATTGGATGTGAATTCCAAATGCAATTCTAGAGTGCCTCTGTTTCTCTTGTAGGTGTAATTCTTGGCATCTTTCCCATCTGGCGTGAAGTTGAACCGCATCAAGGCAAACCCATTGTTGTAGTCTTCTCTTTTTATACCTGGTGTAAATCCACGATGAAAATTTCCACTCGATTCAAACRAGGTGTGGTACGCTTCCAACTTGTCGGGGGACAAGATTTCCAGACGGGCAATGGGGCGTTCCATACCATTCAGCAACCAACGCACACTCTTCAAACTGTCCAACACAAACTGGAAGGGGGTTTTGTCGTAGGCTCCATTGAATTGGGTCGATTTCACCATACCCATGGTCACAATGTCGGGGACGGCTTGTTGGAAGATGTCGTTGAACGTGAAAGATTGTTGATTGGATTCCAGAGTGTGACGGATGGGTTTGGTGGTACGGATGGGRTAGATGGCTGTCAGCTTTTTTTCACCTAGATTTTTCTGCACTTCCAGGGTCGTGGCATAGGAACACTTGACGTGACGCACCAGGAGCACGGCTTTGGTGATTTTAAACTTGTAGGTAGAACCTGTGGCTGCCATCACCACCAAGGCATTGTCATTGTAGTCGATCTGAATGTCTATGCTCACTCCTGGAATCAAGAAACKTCCTGATTGAAAGATGTMCACGACGGGTTCGATGAAAAAGGTGGTTTCTCTACTGACTTGACCTGTTTTTCCCATGTTCGTCTAGAACAGTTCGGTGCGTTTGAGGAACCCTGCATTGTAAGCGGCGTTGTTCGAAGGCAAGGCGGTTTCTTTGGCAGAAGCAGTCTTGATGGTGTTCATCTTGGYGTTCCCAGGGTCGTCGGTGTACCATCCTTCGCTGGCCAGGAAGCTGTCTTTTTGTTCAGGTGTAAAGTTCRACAGATTTTGCACGTAAGTTTTCATGTGGTACAGGTCGGTGGGTTCGCCTGTAGACGTGTTGTTCAATTTCACGTCGAATCTCTTGACGACAGAGTGTCCCACGTTGTTGATGATCCCCGCATCCGATTTTTCTTCATCAATACTCGCATCATTTGCTTGCAACAGCTTCAACTCCAGTTCCAGATAGCATTGTCCCATATCGATAAAGTTAGTGCTGGCCGGGATGAAGAACTGTGTCGGGAGGAACGTGTCTTACGTAGTACTTTTGCCAGTATCCATCGTCGTTTTTTTTTCACAGCAATCGGAGTAGATTTGCTCATGGTTCTTCAAACACGTCGCGTAGAGGTAGTCTTTTGCGTCGTCTTCTCTTGGTCTTACCTTATCTCGTCCTGAACGTCTTGAGCCACCTGTCCTGCCACGTCGCTTGCCGATTGTTTGGCCTGTTCTACGGTAGCTTGAGCRGCTTGAACCACTTTGTTGCGCACACCGCGCATCATGCTTCCGAATCCACCCATGACTGAAAGGTTTCCGGATTGAGTCTCCCCTTTTTATGCTACTTGTCGTTTACGAAGATGAAGGGTAGCCACGACCAAACTCTTGTCACTGTCGTCAAAGACCGTTTCAGAATGTCGGTCACGCACGTAGATGGACACTTCGTTGAACGACGATAAGCGTATCGGGATGTACATCGGGTTTTTGAATTCGCACGATTGAYGTCTGTTGTCCTGGTGCCCCACCATCGGAACCACCCCCAAGAGCGGGGCGTTGGTATTTCCCACAAAGGAATAGTTCACCAGATCCGAGTAGACGTACAGTCCGCTGGCTGACGAATCTTCTTGTCCCCAGTGAATGTCGGTCCCCTCGACAGACCGAGTGGTGAGAATGTTAGTGATGGGTTGAAGAGGGTCCCTGACTGTGTCCCATTTCGCCATGTTCATGATGTACAAATCCGCTTCTTTGAGGCTATGAGAAGTCTTCTCAAATGAGGATTTCATGAACTTKTCTCCCGCCAATCCCAACCGGTCCAGGATTTTTTTGGACACCAGGGGCGTGTAGTGGGTATTCAGTGGGAGTCTCTCGTGGAACGTGGTCGACATGTGGATCTTTTGACCTTCTCTCCACATCCTCAGGTCAGGAAACCACGTAAGGTTGACCGCCCTGGACGACGTGTGAGACCGTCATCACCTTTCTTCACGTAGGGGTTGTCCCTATGGTCGTCGTCATAATTGAATCGCGACAACAACCCATTGGTTTCGGTTTTGATGTCGTAATACTTGATGGTGGGATCTCGTTCATCGAACGAGTAAGACGTCATCATCAACCGGACCTCGGAAGCGCCACCGTGACCCGATCGAATCACGTACCCAAATTCCACCAAGGGATGGTGGTGGTCTCGTGGACAGAGTCCGTTGAGAGCTTTCAACAATCCCAAGACCGTGTAAAATCCCGACGGAATTTCCTTGGTGTATGAGGCAAGCTCGGTATCGTCTCCACCRACTCCTTCGTACATTTTCTTGAAAGTGATCTTGTTGTATTTGCTGTCCACGTAGGCTCCTTTCTCGATCCCCTGAACGTAGTGTATAAGAAAATTTTGAAACTTCTTGTTGACTTCGCTGATCAGATCGTCTGGATGATCGTACTTTTTTTTTCCAGATAATCGACCCAATATGCCGTCACTTTGTGTTTCCTCGCGTCCTCAGACCCAACTCCTACACCAATCTTATCGGAAGAAAGATCTTTGGAGGCAACTCGAGGTGGTGTTGGAAACGAGAGAAACGTCAAACCGGCTTCCCACTCGCCGGGATCGTAATTGAGTCTTCCTGGCAACACCACGGTATACGTGTTGGCTGTATTGTCGGGGTAGTTCTTCTTGGAAGCGTTGCTGGGAAGTACCAGATAGCGCTCGTCCATGCTTAGGCGGCGATGGCGTCGAAAATGAAGCGTGATCGTGACCACGGCCTTGGGGTCCGCTTGAAAGAGCTTGCCCTTCTCGTCTCGAAGCAGCACCCACACCTTATCTATATACCCGAGACGGAGCTGATGGTATATGGGGTGTTCGGGTTCCAGCACGGATTGAGCGAATCGAGATTCTGCCGATGGATGAGTGACGTCCACTGTCGCTAGCAAAGGGGCTTCTACGTCTCCCACGATCATCCATCGGATCACATCTGCATACACAAAGAAGACTTGACTCGGAACGTCGAGAGGAAGAGGTGGAGCAATCATCGATGTCAAGGCGACCTCCCATTCCYCATGTTCTTTAAAATTGAGGCACTTCAAAATCCCACGGACAGTTTTTCTCTTTTCTACCGGGGTTCGGTACGTTGCTGGGCAAAACCACCACAAACGACTCGTTGTCGGGAAGACTCATCCTTGAACGTCACGAGYGAGAATCCAACTGTTATACTTGTCCGGCCATCCGCGCCACTTCACGAGCACTTCGTTTCCTTTACGTCGTCGTCGTCGTTTGACGATCGATTCGATGCGGAACAGGTCGCTGGCTTCGACGGTAACGGTTTGCAATTCCTGTTCGTAAAATGATCCCTCGATGGGAGATCCGTCCCACTCTTGAATCTTGTACAAGGGCGGTGTGCCGGGTACGCGTCTCGAGATCACAAAGACTTCTTCGGTCCACCCAGGTGTGTAGCCCTTTTTAAACGTTTCAG